ATATTTTTTTATATATATATATATATATATATATATATATATATATATATGTATATATATATAATAACATTATATATATATTATTAATAAATATTTTATTAATAAATATTTTATATTATATTGAATAATATTTTATTTTTAATTATAAGATTTTAAACCGCGCGCGCGTCATCATATGTGACCATGCAACACTGGTTAGATATAGATAGATAGAGTGAGATGTTAGATAGAGTGAGATAACACATAAAGTCAAAGGCCCTCTATTATCGAAAAAACGAGACGTACATTTCTCTCTGGTCGACGACGATGACGTTTCTTAAAATTGAACCGTGAAAATTCACAGATTCGGACTTTGCGTCGCGATATCTCCGCTCGTAGGGCATGTAGAAAAAAAATGAAAGCACTTTTATCATACAATTTAAGTTTTTCCTGTCAATTGAGCATATGTAGAACTTGATCGGTTCAGTCGTTACTGAGATCTGATCATCTCGACCCCGAAAATTCTCCGTGTCGCGTAAAGGAGGCACGGCAGTGTCGCGCGCTTGGCTTAGCGCCGAGACACTACCGTGTCTCCAGATACGTGTTTGTTACAAATAAAATCTTGTTTATAGGCATCGAGTGTCTTATTCCCTCACGATTTTGGAGAACAGAAGCAAATTATAATCCCTTACAAATCGAAAGCTTAATCTCAACAGCAAAAAGGATGACGGAACAATTTCGTTTCTATGTGACCGTTGAAGAATCAATAGATAAGAAAACAAATGTATACAGACTGAAATGGCTGAAACCAGTAAATACTGAATTATACTATGAGTTGCCAGCAGAATTACAAAACCTAAGCAACCATCCTGAGATTAGTACAATACAGAAGGTAAAAACTGTTTTGTCTTCGATTAAGGCTCGGGGATCCTACCGTACGTTTACGCTTTCATTGCCGCCGGAGATAGTGGCACTATATATCGATGATGATAGAGATGCAGTGTATAAAGGAATTTATTTACAAGCAACAATGGCACCTCAATATGAAATAAAGACGGCGAAAAAAGGGACGGAAGAGGACAGACAGACAACAAAGAAAGAAGCAACGCCAGAACCTACATCAAGGAAAAATTTAAAGAAAATACGCGAAGACTTCGTACTAGATAACTTTGATGGCAAAAATTTTGTGATTACAAGCTGGTTCCAAATGTTTGAAAAAGAATGCGCGCGATGTCAAATCACATCAGATGAGGATAAGATTTTAATATTACGTTTATTTTTGGACGGGATAGCAAAGGATTGGTTTTCTTCAAAAGTAGTTACAATAGGTTTAGACGCAAAATTTGAAACATGGAAAAAAATATTTCTAGATAGTTTCCGTGAAACAGGCTGGCGTAAAAACAGAGAGGCATACTCTTTTCGTTATATAGGAGGCAGCTTAGTCGATTACGCTTTACGAAAAGAAAACTTGTTAGTTAATATTCGAAATAATTTTCCGGTAGATATATTAATCGACCTAATTGTGACGGATTTACCAATAATGATACAAGATAGAATAGAAAAAACAAAGACTACATCAATGGAAGATTTGTTAACAGAGCTGCGGAAATTAGAGAATTTAGTACAAAGAAGGAAAACATTTTCCCATGTAAACGCGTCTAAGAATGGTGACCAATCTACCACCAAGTGTAATCCAGGAACTGCAAATTCCAATCAGAAAAATCAAACACAATTATCCACCACAGGTACAGAGAGAAAACCTTGCTCATATTGTGAAAAAAAAGGCTTTCCAGAAAGATTCCACCCCGAGGCACTATGCAGATTAAGACAAAAAGAACAGACTGAACAACCAAAGAATATCAAGACGGCGAATAATGTGGCAGTCCAAGATGAGTTGAACGAAACGATAACCGATCAAAAAAACTAGTTTTGCAGCCGCTGATAAGACTAGAAGTATTTCTGAATGATAATAAGATACAAGGAATTTACGACTCAGGTGCAAATATAACTCTTCTGAATTCGAGGATTAGTAAGAAAATGGGTCTGAACACACGAGAAGATAGAAATACTTTTAAAACTGTTAGTGGCAGAAAAGATTTTGTCGGTAGATTATCTGCTAGAATGAAAATCCACAAAATAGAAAAAACAGTGGAGGTTTTTGTTGTTGAGGATAAAAACTTCGAGTACGATATCCTACTCGGCCTTGACACAATCAAGAACTTCTGCCTGAAACAAGATTACGACTTTAAAATTTACCAGAGAACAAATTTGGATAATGAAGAAGAGAAAAACGGAAATTCTGATACCAATGCAGAAATGAAAGAACATGTAATAAATTTCAATGAAGGTATCCCTGTTAAGCAATTTGAAGCAAAACTAGATCATTTATCTGAAGAAAAAAAAAGAAGTATTCAAAATTTGATTAACAGATACGAAACGGTTTTTGCCAAGAATAAATTTGACGTTGGTCAAGTTAAAAATCACGAGGTACATGTGAAACTTTTAGAACACAGATTTGTAGCAAAAAAGCCATATCGCTGCTCCATACCAGATCAAAAAGAAATAGAATATTAGATAAAAGAATTATTAAAAGCAGGATTGATCGAGGAATCATGCTCACCTTTTGCGTCTCCCGTCACTCTTGCGTACAAACGGGAAGAAGAAACTAAAACAAGAATGTGCATTGATTTCCGGGAGTTAAACAAGTTGCTTATACCGGAACCTCAACCTTTTCCCTTAATAGAGGAAATTATAACGAAAACACGAGATTCAGAATGGTATTCTGCATTGGACATAAATTCCGCTTTTTGGGCAATTCCTTTGCGTATCAAGGACAAATATAAGACTGCATTTGTAACACAAGATGGCCACTGGCAATGGAAATGTTTGCCATTCGGCCTAAAAACATCGCCTGCAATATTTCAACGTATACTAAGCAACATTATTCGAAGAAATAATCTGAATACTTTTTGCACAAATTACATTGACGACATTCTCATTTTCTCTAAATCCTTTGAAGAACACATAAAACATCTGGAAAAATTATTGCAGGTTATTTCCAAAGAAGGATTCCGACTAAAATTCATCAAATGTAATTTTGCGAAAAATGAAGTAAAATACCTCGGTCATGTAATATCAAAAAATACTGTGCAGCCATTGAAGGATAATTTGAAATCAATTAAAGAATTTCCAACACCAGGGTATCGATCACGTATTTTTCAGTGACATCGTTCACTTTTAGATTTTCACCGGCGGCCATCTCACGGTTTCACCATTTTTTATTTTCACTGCGATCATCTAGCGAAAGAAATGATTAGTGACATAACTAGAAGTGGTGAGACCTATTCACATGAAAATATTCCAAAAATCATACCGATGACAACTTCACGATTCTAAACATAACCTTTAATACCTATGAATAAAAACACCATCAGTGGCAATAAGAAAGATAGTTACTAATAATTGTAAGTTGCCACAATTAACTTATTAATTAGAATACATAAACATTTATTTGAAAAATTTCTCCAATTTAGTATATGTATTTCAGTTTAAAAATGAATGTTACATATAAGCAAAGAGAAATTTTATTAACGTATATGGAATCCCATCGTGAATTATTACAAGGACGATTAAGCAGTAAATCGGAAAGCCGCAGGACAATGGTATTATTATTAATGCACAATGTGTGTTATATCAAAAATATGTTTTATTTAAATATTAGGATATACATAATATAAAATATAGAAAAATCTAGGGTTAATGAGAGTAATTTGCTGTTAATGGTGCGATCACAAAATATAAAATATATTATAATACTTAAAAAATGATACAAAACTAGACGTTTCGGTCTATATCCGGGCCATATATGTAATATGTAATGAATTCGTTTCACAGAAAGATATGTGGGATGACCTAGCGAACATCTTGAATAGTTCTGCTGAAGGTCCCAAAAAGAATTCTGAAGAATGGAGAAAAGTAAGAGTTATTGAAAAATGTTATACTACTTATTTTTTCAATTTTTGTCATTTTTTAAATTATCTAATATCCATAATGTAAATGCTTGTTTTATAATAGAGCTGGAATGACTGGCGAATGAATGTTCTCAAAAAGGAGACGAAAAGAAGAAATCATTCGAGGGGTACAGGTGGTGGTTCTCCTATGAAAGTTAACTTCACTGACATTGAAGAAAAGCTATTGGAGTTACTGACACCCGAAGCTGCCGGAATTGAGAATGTGCCTCAGGGAGGAATTCCTTTAAAGAAGCCACGCAATGAGCAGGTATTCCGCTACAAAATTACATGTTATAGGTAATAATGTATCAGCACGTTATCTTTCAGCAACATTTTTGAAATGAAGTATTTTTTATTTCAAAAGGAATTAGAATTTACAGTAGTTCTTATATTATGTATGTTTATGATACTTTATTTAAAAAATGAAAAATATGAAAAATATTAAGAATGGAAAATTTATTATTCTGCAGAGTTTTATGAAGGATTCGCACAGACATTTACAATCAACAAGTGTTTGGGAATTGGAGAATACATCTGTTGAAACACAACCGTTTCAAGACATTCAAAGTGATGAACTGCAATTTATCGGAGATTATGAGCCTGTATTCAACGAAGGAGTCTACACATTAAGTTCTGCAGATAAAAATAAACATTCTTCAATCATAGAAACTACAAATTGCAGCTCAGATAATGAAGCTGATAAGGAGAATATAAATGCTGGAAAATCTAATAAATTACTTGCGAAAAAACGAAAAATAATATCACCTGTACCTGTACCTTCGCATACTACTTCTTCATCAAAATCTCTTACTGGTATGTCCACACAAATGTTAAAAGTGCAAGAAGAAAAATTGTTATTAAAACAACAAGAATTACAAACTAAACGGAATATGCTTGCAACACAACAGGAAATATTACAAGAAATGAGGAACATGAACTCAAACATACAGGTTCTGTTTGAAAATTTGTTTTCCTCAGTGTTACAAAATGAATAAAACGCATGGAACGGTGCTGGTATAAATCAAAAAGGCTGTAATACATTCTACATATGTGTGATTTATTTAGAAATGTACTATATAAACGAGCTGTAATTTTGGTATAAGTGTTGTTAAGATTGCTACCGTAGGATTTTTATAAATTCAGTTAGAATTTTTATTTTTTTCTGTTGATAACTCATTTTGATTAGGAGGAAGCTGTTACTGAAGATATTAAAAATATTCTTTATAAATGTTGCATAAATATTAAAATAATCTTTGTGTTGATTAATTTTAAAAACGTATTTTATTTTTAAAAATATATAAAGAAACATCTTTTATTCATATTTTTTATATGTAAGTCACGTTTATTCTAAGACTGTTATGTAATAATATGATAACTATGTTTTAAATGTGATATTATATATTTATATAATAAGAAAAATTTAAACTTAATATTAGATAATAAAAAAAAACGATACCAAAAGAATACCAAAGCTAAAACAATTTTAATATCTTTTAATACTTTGTTTTTGTTTTCTGAAAATGTATCAATCGACTAAATAATGTTCAATTAATAGGAAGTTTAATAAACAATTAAAAATGTAATTACATTTTATTTCCTTTCTCTTTTACACTATTTTATAAATGTTACATCTTTGTAGTTTGTATTTCGACAATAATAAAATTTGAATATTCGTTTACAGATGAATACACAGCCATTGAAAATTAAAAGTAAAATGACTAAAATAATTTCAACGTTAAATTATGTGAAATATCGACGTATTAATGCTTCCCGAACTTCCTGTCCTGCTCGACCTCTACCGTTATTAATGTTTTGTAGAAAATCTTCATCTTCTTGGTCTATATCATCGACATATAAATCAGGTTCGGGGACATTATATATCTTTGCAATATTGTGCAAAATGCAAGCAGCATTCACTATCAATGCTGAAAGAGAGAAATGCACAAACAAAAATTATATCACTTATCTTGTTAATAATGATTAATAATAATTTTTATAGTAATGTCTATTTTTTAGTAATGGTTGGATACCTGCAAACTCTGGTTTGTAATGTAGTGCTCGTTCTTTCCTTAAGCACCTCCACCGACCTTTAAGCACTCCGATGCAACGTTCAATCTCGCTGCGGGCTTTAACATGCACATCGGTATATCTAACAGGAGGTGTACCAACGGGTTGATTTAACATTGGAGTTAACAAATATGGGAGTAGTGGGTATCCAGAATCACCTGTTAAGAGTAGCAATGCATATTATTTTAATCGTGAGAATTTTTAAGAACTTAATAATTTCATAAATTTTTTAATAAAATAAGTTATAATAAATAAAATTATTTATTTTTACTACGATGAATATGCACTAATATTGAACTATATACAAACATTATTATTGTGCAAAGTTGTAATAAGCAAAAATTTAATATTTTTTAAGAGTAGTTTCAAGTATTAAAAAATGTTGAATAATTGCACAATTTATATAAATTGTGATAAAATATATACCAATCAACCATGTTCCTGTTCTACCATTTCTGTGCTCTTGTTCTAAATGATGAGAGATAACCGATGCATTCCATACGCGTGAGTCGTGAATCCGTCCACCGTGGCCTGCATTAACAGCTAGAATTTTTTGGTTACCATCACAAATCTGAAATTGCCAATTTCTCTATTCATGCTTGTCTAATCTAAATGCACACACTATTTGTATAGTTTCTACAAAGTATATTATATACTGTGACCGTACTTTTGAGGAACGACACAACTTCGTCACTTCATCCGCTGCTCTTTTTACGCGATAGCTCAAAAGATGGACGCAATAATGTAATTAGCAAAAGTGCGGTTCTTTCTTAAATTTTATATGCTACGATATTCGAGCCGTACTAATTTTCGTTGGGCGCCAGGCACGAGAGAGCGTGCCACTCTTCGCACTAAATATTAAGATGTTACGCTCGGACAAAAAAATTACAGAGCAACGGAATTCGCGAC